TTCGCTGATAAAAAATCTGATCATAGTAAAAATACTAATATTGCTAACATAGTTTTGATTTATTTAGTTGAGTTACCACCCTAGTACGTACGTACGTGCGTACGTATTTAATTTACGGTGAGTAGTAAGGGCATTTATTAATAAATATTTAAGGACTTAGGCATCGCACCATGCAATGCAATTATATATCGCACCCTAACGATCTGCCAATTAAAATTGTATATGTTTTTTGTCTTTTTAATAAAGAAATTGTAATATCTCAAGGTTTTGCTTATGAAACAGATTTTAACATTCTAATAAAAAAAATTCCTTACAAAATTTTACTATAAATTGTGCTCTACTCTAATCTCTTATCAATTCTAAATTATTATGATTTTATGTTATATAGGTTTCAATTATTGTTCATACAGAGGTGCGATATACAAGTGCATCGCATAGTGCGATGTATACATTTATTCAATATTTAAAATAGGTTATTCAAATTTATTTATTCGTATTAATTAAATGGTGAGCATAGAATTAAATTTGGTAGGTACTCGTAATTGGAAATTTTATCATTATGCGGTATGGCTGAGTAAACTGATCATTATTATTTTTACTGGATAGTTCTACGTATAAATTTTGCGTAGAACGCAAGCACATTATCTGCAGTATTACTAAATATTATTTAATAAAAACTTTATTGCAATTTGGAATTTGGTTTAAGGTGGCACATTTTAAATGTTTAATAAACCCTATAACGATAATTAATAAAATCCTAAAGTACATATGCACGTATGTACGCATGCACGTACTGTACGTGTATTACCCATTAAATATCTATAAAATTATGATCCACTCACCTTGTTCCATTCCCTTCCTTACTAAATCCTCGAAGGTATATTACTATATGTGTTCCACACGATATAATATGTCCAATATGAATGTGCGTATGTGATGCCAAGATATACTATTTTGTGAGCTAATAATATTTTTCGTGTCAACGAACGATAATTTCCTATTGACCAATTCTGATTGCACTGAATATGTAAAATATTCTCCCAAGACATGGTCATTGAAGAGTTATATAATACCAACTAAAAGAAGATTGATGCAAATCAACATTCAAAGTGGGATATTCTTTTCTTCACAAAACTTCACGGCCGAAGAAACATCATTATAAGCAGCCATTTTAATCCAATGAATACCTTCTTTAACATCCTTTTCGACACCCACGCCCCCATAATACATATTTCCAACATTAAACATTGAGTTCGCATCACCTTTATGAGCTGCTTTACAAAAATATTCAAAAGCAGATTTTAAATCTTTTTCCACTCCAAGACCGTTATATAAACATGCTGCATAATAATATTGAGAAATTGTCATATCACCGTCATCAGCTGCTTCTTTAAATAGCTTGGCAGCTTGATTAAGCCTTTGTTCTTTGGAAAATTGAGGTTCCAAGAAATTTTTGTATAGATAATAAGCTTTGTAATATTTGGCTGTCGTGTCACCTGTAGAAAAAATATCAAAATACTGTAAATTTCCCTCTTGTTATATATGTGGAGTGGTTGAAAAATTTTAATTTAAAATTCATGATAAGACATTTTTCTCAAAAATTTCAACCAGTTTATATAAATATTATCCTCTCATCTTTAGATTTTCACATGTAAATTTTCTGTATTGCAGACGAAGGGAAGTCTATTAAGATGAATGCAAATACCTAGTTGGGAGTAAAATTCAAAAGATTCCCAAGCTTTAGCTTTATCACCATCCATTTTATTGTGTTGTTTGATCGCATCTTCAATTGACATGATATTTTTTATATATGCTTTTTGGGATGCAGAAATTGAAATACTTTGGTCAACAGATGCTACCGGTGTTTGACTCAAATCTTTAATCTTTGCCAGTATATTTTTAAATTGAGGACGTTTATCCGGATCGCAACTGGTTGCTATGAATCCATAAAAGTTTGCAAACGATAAATATACCACTATTATATAGTTGTATATGTACTTATGTTGAGTTAGCTCACTCACCTTTCAAAACGAGTTTTTCCCATTTTTTAGGCATACGATTTTTAAATGATAATTGAATAGGATCTTCTAATATTTTATTTCTAATGTCAACTTCATATTTATATTCAGAGAATGGCAGTTCTGTTTCAGCAATTTCCCAAAGCAGCATCCCAAAGCTGACAAAAATAACAAAAAAAATTTTTTTTAAGAAAAGAAAATGAGTTTGAAAGGGTTTTACCCCAGAATCCTGACATTCAAAAACCTGATACCAAAATCCTGACATTAGGGATGGTAAAAAAAACGCTTTTTTATGTTTTTTAACTTGATTTAATAAAATGGTTTAAAACATTGTCGATTATGGTGTTGATGGATGAAGCTGAATTATTGTATTAATTGGTTAATTTCAACTTTAGTGTCGTCTGTGAAATTTATATTTTTTTAATCGAATATGCATGTTTTTTGACATCAGTTTGTGATATACGAGTCAAAAAAGTCAGAAGATTCGAATTTATAATCATGATATCAGTATTAGTGACATGTTTTAAAACATATAAAAAATCATTTTAAACCATTCTGTTTTAAATCATTTGCCATCCCTACCTGACATTACTAAATCTAGACACTACCAATATCCTAACAGTACTGTTAATATTTTGGTGGTGTCGGGATTTTGATGTCGGGATTTAGTAATGTCGGGATTTTGGCTGTCGGGATTCTGGGGTAAACCGTGTGAAAAAGATTACCTGAAAACCTCGCATCGTGAGTCATAAGGCATACCGCGTATCTTTTCTGGGGCCATATAACGAATAGTATTAGAATTAAATTTAATATTTCTCGATTTTTCAATAAAACTACGACCCATTCCAAAATTTGCGATTTTTGCATTTCCGTAAGAACCGATCATGATGTTGGCACTTCGCACATCATGATGTAATATTTGGTAGGCCTCAAGGAAATTAAGTCCACGAACGATATCTAGCGCGATTTGGATTTTTGAAGACTGATCGAGCCTTTTCTCCTTATAATATTCACGTAAGTTTCCGTGAGGTGCCCATTCAGTGACAAGATATGGTTTTGATTGATTTTTATCCTCGACTAAACCGAAAAACTGGATAACATCACGTGATTCTTGAAGCATTTTCAACAAGCCAACTTCACGATTGAGGTCTTTCAAAAGACTCTCATCCATTTCTTTAAAAGCAACATCATAGTCATCTGACCTTCTTACCCATCTTTGTTTGCCTCATTGATAGCTTTCTCGATGGCTTGAAAGTAATCATGACCATCAATGTAAGCTTGCACTTCAAC